ATGAAATAAATGGTGCATTAAATAAATACTATAAACTAAAATGAAGAAATTAATGGTGCATTAAATAAATAACATAAACTAAAATAAAGAAATAAATGTTGCATTACATCTGGTCTCACACATGTAGCTTGTGGATATTTGACCAATTATTGAGATGTTTGCAATAAATTTTATCAGCAATGAACTATGTACGATGAGATTGCTGGCTTTAAATCTGATGTGGATACCAAACATTTGTATTTTATACATTGATAATCACATGGCTAGATTGGTCAGTTATTGTACAATGTATTAAGTACATGGCTAGATTGGAAAGTTACCATTAGATTAGATGTAAAAATTACATGGCTAAATTGTTCAGTTATAAATTAAATAATATAAATTATTGATCAGCTTTCATATTTATCTCTAGTGTCTGTGTTGCCGCGACAAGAAAGAAAAACCTTCATATGACCCATATGAACGTGTCAAGGTAATCTATTATAGATGACACTAGATGTTACAAACCTATTCTTACTTGATAGGTTCATTGACTTTGTTGTATAGGAGTTTATTATGTACACTTCACAACTATAATTCTTAGATGAAATATCTTTATTAATCAACTAATTCTTCAAATGCCGTTACTGTAATCAAAGCACAACACTCCACAACCAAATCTACAATAATAATACGTCATATCCCTTTCCATACAATAGGTCACAAGATACTAAGAATAATAGATAAAACAACACACATAATCTCAAACCAACACGCAATCACACTATACACTCAAATCCCTAAATGCTGCAAAAATCCCTAGATAATTATCATTGTAAAAAAATTTTTATTATAAGATGACATAACATGAATGATGTATTTTTTGGTTCTTTTATAAATCTCTTTAAGTTAATTAGTGCCTTACCATGATAAATTAAACTTGAAGATAATTTGTCATGTGGCTTTGGAAATTGAAAGTGCATATTGCTTTTAATTGTCTTTTTTTAAATAGTCATTCTAGATCAGCAGTTCTCAACATGTGGGTCGCGACCCTTTGGTGGTTGAACGACCCTCACACAGGGGTGGCCTAAGACCATCGGAAAACACATAATTATGAAGTAGCAATGAAAATTATTTTATGGTTGGGGATCACCACAACATGAGGAACTATATTAAAGGGTTGCTGCATTAGGAAGGTTGAGAACCACTTATCTAGATGTTTATTGAGGAATCATTGTTCACTGCATTCACAGTAATCAATCAGTTGTTGCCTTATAAAAAAATTCAGTTTTTTGTCAACTTTAAAGAATAGTTTTTAAAAGGTATTAGGAAAGAAACAGATAGAATATTTTTTTAAACAGATAGAATATTTTTTTAAACAGATAGAATATTTTTTTAAACAGATAGAATATTTTTTTAAACAGATAGAATATTTTTTTAAACAGATAGAATATTTTTTTAAACAGATAGAATATTTTTTTAAACAGATAGAATATTTTTTTAAACAGATAGAATATTTTTTTAAACAGATAGAATATTTTTTTAAACAGATAGAATATTTTTTTAAACAGATAGAATATTTTTTTAAACAGATAGAATATTTTTTTAAAGAACAATAAAGACAATTTTTGTAGCAATGTTTATCCTCTCTTTCTTCCAGCCAGTAGAAAAATCGTTCCATGAGAAAGGTATTCCTCCAATGCACAACCAGGCTTACCAAGAAGATGATGAAGATGACAAGTTTATCAAAGTGAAACTGTAGATATTCTTTTCTAAATTAAAGTTATCCCGTTGGAAATGTTAAACCTTTTGCTGTTACATTATAACTAATTTTTTTAAAAACACTCTTTATAGTTAAATTGAAACCATTAATTCTCTTTACAACTAATTTTACTTACTTTATTTAGATACATACTATGTTAGATTCCCCTTGTTAGATTCTCACTTCGTTTAATGAAATAGAGGATTAATTTGAAAATATGAAAATTATTTTTTAAAAAAATAAAATTTAATTTGTACACTAAAAACATTCAAATGTTTGTTATTAATATTTAGAAAGCTGAATGCAAATGTATTTTTTTAAATAGTATTTTACTCACTCAACTGAAATTGGCTCCAATTGCCTATGTATGATTTTGGCAAAATTTGTTGAAATAAATTAAAATGTACATGTTTAATCCACTTGAAATGTTACACCAACTAATATTCTTTGTGTCTTAAATGTCATTACATCTGTAACCTGTGTAATTCAACTCTACTTGCAGTTTTTTAAAAATCCAATAAGATTCTTAAATCTGAATAACTTTTTATTTACTGTATCTAATTTTTTAAAATGCATAAGACTTTCATTCAACTTTTATTTTTACAAGTGTTTATTTATTTTGCTCTGTTCAAGTATATAATGGCAAACTGAAATCTTTCTTTAAAAATTTTGAGATTTAACAAAATAATATATATATATATATTTTTCAGTTTCACTTTGTAAATTAAAATTTGTTTAAAACATCAGTTTTTTTTTTTTTTACTATTATTTTTTTTTTTTTTTTCCATTTTTCCCCCCCCCCCTGCTCAATTAGCAAATATTTAAAATATGTACTGTTAACCAACAGTACAAAACTTAACCTAAAAAGTATGTGACTAAAAGCTTCTAAAATACAAACTTAAATATTCATTTATATAACAAAATGCAGTTTTACAGGTATTCCGTAATTAGTATTTAATAACAAAGTTAAGGTCATTTCGCACAATTGTTTTATTTGATTATAATATTTACAAAAAATATTCATATTAATAATAGCTGAGATAAACATACAGGAATGAAAATTCATTTTTTTTTTTTAAATTATGAAAATATCTAGGACAGATCAAATAGGTAAATTATAGTTAAATTAAATTATATCCAAATAAACTAAGTCTTATATATATAGATTTAGTTAAAACATAAGTCATTTGCACTATGAAAGTAAATACAATTATTTAACATTTTTGTATACAATTTCCATTTTTTATATAAAACAAAATTTAACAATGGTATAATGCAGTGCTTTAGAATTAATTTAAAGAAAATTGATACGTTAGGCACTGGCTTCAATTGTGAGAAATTAATCTCCTATTTTAAATTTATGGCTCGTTCAAAACAGTGCATAACAAAAGGACGATACCATAGAGAAATACATTAATAAAAATATGACACCTAAAACAGTACCAATTACAATTAATAAGATTTAATTTAGTAATAATACAATTATAAAATAAAAGAAATATAATTACAAATCATCAATTTACAGTATGGTATATCTTGTACCGGTACACAGTTAACACAGTTAGTACAATGTGCCAATGAATAATGATCAATGCGAATAAACACATATAAGCACACAAAGAATAAGACACATCTCGTGAAGGTAAAAATATCTATCTTAATCTCCCTCTCTCAGTATCTGTCACTCCTTTATATACATGTAGCGTAAAACGCTTCCAGAAAAGAATTATGACGTGTTGTTTACATTTCTCGGGTTATCGAGAAGATTCGACAAGATACCAGGAGACATACTAACCATGTTTAATTGGTAAACACGACAGATCAAAAGAACTAGCCCCGCCCACAATAAACGCTACCGTCTGCTAGGGATCTAATGTGAGGTGAAACAAAGTTCAAGCACGGGGGGAAAAAAATGTACTACATAACAGATATGTAAAAGAAAATGTTTCCAATATTGTAAACTTGATTAACATTTGGTCATTGATTGCTTTAAAATTGGATTTTAATGTGTAATCATACAGATTATGTAAATAATAAAACTAAATGCTATTACTAGATGCCATAATTATAAGGATTGCACTAACAGAAATCAAATGTAATGTCCCAATTTATAGATAATATAAAAATGCAGGATAAAGAAACATATTTGATTGGGTTTTGGGAGGGGGGGGGGGTTCAATATTAAAAAATTATTTGTGTATAGAATTTTTAATAACTATTATCCCAGCTTATAAACAGATTATATAATTAAGAAAATTATCTTTATAAATCCCTAAAAGTACAATATTATGCACTGATGATGTAGATTGCGCTTACACCAACAGAAATCAAGATATCATTTTTCAATTTAAATAAAATATAAAAATGCAGGATGAAAAATCATACGTGACTATTTTTATTTAATCATAAAAAAAAAATATTTGTGTAAAGGATTTTTGATAACTATTGTTTTTTTTTATTGCTAGCGCCAAGGAAATGATCATAGTTGTAGTTAAGAAAAAGAACTCCTTATTTTTAATTAAAAACTCATACTTGTAAAATCACTAGGCTTTTTTAATTTTATTTTTCAGCTATTCAACACAACAATAAATAAATAATTTTTCTTTGATTTTTTTTAAAAATAGTCATCAGAGCGCTGTGGGCATGCTAAAATATCATGGACACAAGTGATCAATCATCATCATTACACAAATATATTATTTATTTTCATAGTGTATGTTATCAAAAATTTTATTATAGAATATACCACTTCTTTATGTCAATTTGTAAATAGAAAGCCATTTTTATGTAAAACAACAATGCATTTTCATCACATTTAGCCATTTGAAACAAGGTAAAAACATATAGCAATATTTATGAGATGTGCAAAAAGAAATTCTCCCTTTAACATCTTAAAAAGTATACTAAAAAATTTAGAATGGAATATAAAAATTAATGTAAACATCATCAAAAACAATTTACAATATACTGGATCCAAGACCTGTGACAAGACATTTCCAATTAATACATGGGATTTACATTTCTCAGAGGCTCTGCATTTTTATCACACCACTGACAAAATGACAAGGGTTTGGTTCGGATGACACAGAGTAATGTTTTGCAGTCATCCTCGGCCGCGTGACTTTCAATGGGATCTTGGCTGAATATGCGTTTATATAGCTGAGGTAAAGAATAAGACAATGGTTTTTTTCTGTTATTTATATTATTAGAACTGAGACCAACCATTTTGCTGCCTGTGTCACAGACTGAAATACTGTTAGGGGTTTCTTGAGGTGGTTGTACCTTCATAGTCCTGACTGGTTCAGGTATAAAATTAAGCTCAGCCTGCTCTGCTGCATACATGACTTCAGCTTCACTGTTTGTTGACCAAGGACTAAAGTTGTCTGGAGTTTCAGGTGAATCGGGATATGGGATATCAGCAACATTATTTAATTTATTTGAAATAAGGGGCAGACTTTCACTGTGACCAGATGAGGAAAGGGTTTCACTTTTTATCCCCTTATCCACGCTAGTCTGATTAGAAAACAAATTTCGCCGTGCCTTGTTAGTGGCCTCATCTCTAACTATTTCACCCCGTTTAAGCTTTGCATTGGGCCCCTTAGGTGAACTGACAGTGGATGAATGCTGAGGTGTCACTGCATCTATTGACCACAGTAGATGGACATCTTCTGATAATCTGGCTTGCTTGCTGGGTGATACTGAATGACAAATGTTAGGATCAAGTGTCTCCTTATTGGCCTCGCTCTTTGGTGTTTCCACTAAAGCAGTGAATGACCGATTTTTTCTGTTATTAATGACAAAATCTGGTTGCTTTGGAAGGCCATCTAATTCTCTGAAACCCTCCAAGCTGTCTGCACACAAAATATTTACTGGAACAGGCTGATTGGCATTGTTTAGCTCTGAGATGAGGAGGGGGAAATCAAAGCTGTAACAGAAGAAAAAAACTTAATATTAAACATTTCATTTTAAACAGAATACTTTGACAAAATCAATATAAACGTTATTCAATGGTTCAATTTTTATTTCAAGCTTGAACACATAGTTGTACTGCTATGTTATGCATTACGATAGTTCATTCAATCTATGTACTAAATATATCCAATTAAATACTATTATTAACCCTTTCATTGCCACTGGTTTTGGCATTGATTTTTGCTAACTCAACAATTTAAAAAACTTAAAGATGAAACTTCCGGTATTATTTCATTCTCTTTCCGATTTGCTTATTAACTTCTCTATAGATTAACAAATAAAGAAATATATAGCATTGAAATATGAGGTCGATGTGGCGTCCTTGGTATTTCAGAAAAGTTCTTTGCATCATTGTTATGACGACAATGTGAAGTCCTTGGTAATTGAAAGTGGGTGATCGTGATATCGTCATCAGTAATGAAAAGGTTAAATCTATCCTAATATGTCTGATTATAATTTCACTTGCCCATTGCCATTGTGCGCTACAAGACAAGCTGGTTGCGGCAAAGTTGTCAAGAATGAGCAAATCAGAGAAGCATATGTTTTGAATGGGCTGTACGCCTCTAATTCATCATTATATAATCCTGAAATAAATGTATGGGAAAATGTATAAATATTTAATAAAACAATCTTTCTTCTCTCTGGTTTGTCCAACTGATCTTTTCACCTTTACAATTGAGGCCACTATGAGATCACACTGAAAACTGAAACATTTGAGATTTAAAAAAAATAAAGGCTGCAATGCCTACAAAAACTCTTTTCATTTCTAAAGGGAATGAAACTATTTCATTAATTTTACTTCTACCTGTAATTGAAGAAGATTTATAGCTTATATTCTTTTGAGGATTGAAACATAGAAGAAGTTTGTTGACAACACGGGGAGTACTTGATTTCAGCAGTTCATCTCTAAGCAATGCAATGAAACTCAGTTCAGTAATTCTTGGGTTGTTTCCTGGGCTAGGAAGTCCTGTTGTCTCTGTGTCAAATATCACAAATGTCTTCACCGTCTGACTCATGTCTTCAGCGTCCAACTCTGCCTCAAGTAGACTAAATTTTTCAATGAGTCTGAAAATATTTCAAATTTTTTATATTTTGGTATTTCCCCAACTACTTGCACTGTTATTTTATTGAAAAATATAAATATTACCTCAAGTGCAGTAACTTTAGTCATTGTATAACTGCTTCATCAATTGGTATAAAAGGCCATTCATAAATTCAGCTCTCATCTTAGGGTGGAAGGTACACATTTTTGACAATGTGTGATGAGTGTCTAACTTTGTGTGACAATTGGGTTGGTTGTGTAAAATATTAGCCAAAAAGAGTGAAGAGAGAGAGCACTTTATCTGTAAATTATCTATTTCAGCTCAGGGGTTCTTAATTTGAGGTGCCTGTACCCTGGGGTGGTGGGTGGCAATGCTAGGAGGTGAGGGTGGATCCCAAAATTAATTTGAAATATATTTTATAAAATAACATGGAAGTACAGAAAAGGACAATTTTTTCTTTTAAATGTTATTAAAAAAAAAAATTATAGGGGTAATTTATATAATATTTCAATTTTATTTGAGGAAACTCCTATAAATGTTATGCATTTAACAAACCTGGCCACTACTTTTATCGGGAGGGGGGGGGGGGATTTTTTGAAATGGAGAGGAGGGTTGGAAAAAAAAAATTAAAAATAAATTTAAATTATTTCAACTGTTTTTTAAAAATAAATTCAAGAAGTCCTTTAAATTTAATAAAGTTTAAAATAATCATTTTTTTTTTAGGCTAATTACTAATAATTTGCCCTTTGAACAAAAATTATAGTTGAACAGTCTTTGAAACAGGGCCTTGATCACTTATTATTTTTTGCACGCACAAACAACACCCCCACCCCCTTTTGTCTATTTCAATTGTTTTTAATTTTACTACTGATCTGTCTTCCTTAAACACTAAACCGTAAAGGAGTTGCTCCTGACATTTTAAGGATAACTATATTATACAGTCGTAGAAATTTACTCACCTAGGGCTTTAACTTTAGGGACTAGGGGTCATTATGCTAAATCATGCCTACGACTAGACTAAGTTAAATTAAGTAATTCAATTTTCAACTTATAGTTAACGACACGACGACTCAGAAAATTAAAGTATCTGACGTAAATAAAAAAAAAAAAAGGTTCTACTTTGTTGTTACTTTCACTTTTCAGTGTTATCAAGTTATCAACTCGTATCACTTGTTTGAGCACGGTCAGTTTTATTAAGTTAAAATTATTGTTTTAGCCCTATGACTCTATGCCAGTCATAATACGAAATAAGGAGAGCCTTGTTGGTACAATATTCACTATGATTAATACTATGACTATGATTACTATTCTCTTAAAAAAATGTAATGTTTATAATGTAACGTAAGCAAAAGCAGTAGCGTCCCCAATAGTGAAAATGAAACCAACAAAAAAATTACTTCGAACTTTACTTTCTATTTCCTGTTCATGATTTTGTTAGGCCCGCTGTGAGCCTTACATTTATTTATTATAATTATTTTTATGATTTGCCTTATGATTTCTTTTTCTTTAACCATTTTGAGTTATAAAAAGGAAGATTTTCTTTCTTATATTTCTAATTGCATGTCTTAAATATGTGATAAGATTCGTATGGCTGGCAAAAATAATTGTATTACTAATTACTACTAAGACTAATGGTCTTATATTAATAGTACTGGTTTTGGAGTGATATATCTTTTAGGCTTTACTTAACTCAAAGCGTATGACAAGAACATCGATCCACCGATTTGTAACAAGAATAGCAAAACTGATAAAGATATTGGTGGGGCCCTAGCAACGCCCGTTAGGCATGGGGCATGATATCATTTACATCGACATTGTATTGTTATTAACCATCGTTTATATTTGGGTTGTTGTTGTTTTTTATTAATCAAAATAACAACTTTTTTGAATCCATCGGATTGGCTGATGCCTCATTGTCGAACCTTGACTAAATAACGCCTGGGGCGAACTCCCTAAATTATAATTTATAACCCCCACCCCCCCCCACACACAGTCAATTAAATTTTCATTATATTCATTGTGACATTGTTATAAATAATTACAATTTATTTTGAAAAGAACCATTAAGCAACAACGTTTCATTCCATGTTATACATGGCTATGAACAAATATCCCCTCTTCAGGTCAAAGTGGGGATGGGATAGCCAACCATCCGTGCATTGAAGGACATTCCGTACAAAATTGACATTCGGCCTAAGCCTAAATATCTTGTCCATAAACTTCTTTAAAAACTTTTATTTATTTTTGAAATATATATATATATATATATATATATATATATATATATATATATAGTTTGTTGTCACGCCACTGTTCGCCGCGGTGCCTTGGTCTTGTGGGTCACACGCTGTTGTGCTCACTGCGGGCAAAGCCGTTAACAGTTTTTTTAAGCACACAGCTGACTTGTGTGTGATGGTGTGTACAGGGGCGTAAGAAAGCGGTGTGTGTGTGGGGGGGGGGGGCGGTCCGTCCCGGACGGCCCGTCCCGGACGGCACTCTGTCTTGTTTCCTTACATTTAGAGGTGGTGTTACCGAGCAACGGCAGATTTCCGCTCGTAGGCGTAGGAAGAGGGGGCTAGGGGGCGCCAAACGCTAGATCCGCCCCGCTTGGCACTTAACTTCCTAACTACGTCAACGGTAAATAATTTCTTTAATTAAAAAAAAAAAATCTTCGGTGAAATGTAAAAAAAAAAAAATTTTAAATTACTAATTACAAAAAAACAGCCTGTCCTAATAAAAAGGGCAGAACTGCCCCCTATGCATGATGATATTATGGATGGCCCGTAAATAATAACAATATGTTAGTACTGATACCTTTTTTTAAAAAAAAAGTAATTTAAAAAAATAATTGTACACAATTAAAATGAGATATAGTCATACTTAACGCTACAGATATTTTCATTTGTTTAGCTCCATAGTTATTACGAAAGTAGATTTAACACTTGCCCGTACAATAAATATTATTTGATTGAGCTGGCCAAGCTCATGTTGCCATTATAGCATTTTGCCACCAGAGCAGAGTGTCACAGACAAAGAAGGTTTTAGTTCAATTGCTACGTACTGTGGCGCTTAAGTCATAAAAAAACTTAAGCTGACCAAGTTTTGGTTTTGCCCCTCTCCCTTGAAAAAACCTGAAATGACGCCCCTGAGACAAAGAATGGTATAACCAGACCAGGACGCCACCAGAGCAGAGTGGAAATGTGACATTTTGATGTCACCCCCCCCCCCGACTTGAAGCTATTGACCAATCAGCATCCACGGTACATAGATTATGTTTCTGCCTTGTCGTATAAACTCATCGTGCTCTCATTGTCTTTTAATATGACCTTTGTAATAACCCGTCATTGGAATAGTTTTGCGATATTTTGAACAGATTTTGTAACGGTGATCTGCTCTGAACTAATGCTCGTATTATTATAGCATTTTGCCAAAGTACAATTCTTTGGTAAATACTGACGTTTCAGTTCTAATTTAGTTCATTTGTAATGAATTCAACCGAATGTGTGAAGACATTTTCCAAGAGATAACGCAATGGACTTAAATCATGGTGACCAGATTTTTCTGGGAGAAACGGTTGGTAATCAAATTGATTGAAAGGGACGCTTTCATGAAGGGTAAAGAACACCTTCATTAGTGTAGCACAGGCCTGCACAACTCAAAATGTAAGGCGGGCCGTAATACTTTGTGAAAAACTTGTGCGGGCCAAAAGAAAATAGGACAGGACTTGTGCGGGCCAAAAGAAAATAGGGCAGGACTTGTGCGGGCCAAAAAAAATAAAATAAAAATAGGATCCGGAACAAAACTATTAAATAAATAATAAAAATAAAGAATATTTTGTTACCTCGTGGGCCGCAAGGTGGATGCTGGCGGGCCGCATGTGGCCCGCGGGCCGTATTTTGTGCAGGCCTAGTGTAGCACATTAAAAAAAATATATATAAAAAATCATTCGATCGACTACCAACGATTTTTTAGAATACTCTTTTTTTTTCTTCTAGGACGACCAAGACTGACCAGAAGTGGGCGACCAAGACTGACCAGAAGTGGGCGACCAAGACTGACCAGAAGTGGGCGACCAAGACTGACCAGAAGTGGGCGACCAAGACTGACCAGAAGTGGGCGACCAAGACTGACCAGAAGTGGGCGACCAAGACTGACCAGAAGTGGGCGACCAAGACTGACCAGAAGTGGGCGACCAAGACTGACCAGAAGTGGGCGACCAAGACTGACCAGAAGTGGGCGACCAAGACTGACCAGAAGTGGGCGACCAAGACTGACCAGAAGTGGGCGACCAAGACTGACCAGAAGTGGGCGACCAAGACTGACCAGAAGTGGGCGACCAAGACTGACCAGAAGTGGGCGACCAAGACTGACCAGAAGTGGGCGACCAAGACTGACCAGAATTCAATGATTGAATCAAGAAAATTGGTAATTTATTTGCGTTACAAATATATTGCACTTATTTGTGTTAGTTTAATCCTACAATTATGTATCTAAGGCAGCGGCTCTCAACCTGCGGGTTGCGACCCCTTTGGGGGTCGAACGACCCCTACACATGGGTCGCCTTAGACCGTCGGAAAAAAAACATTTATAAGGTAGCATCGGAAATAATTTTAAGGTTGGGAGTCACCACAACACGAGAAACTGTATTTAAAGAGTCAAAGCAGTAGGAAGGTTGAGACCCGCCGATCTAAGGCTTAAAATAACTGCAACAGACCGCTTGTTTCTTCCCACTAAATTGGGGAAACGCGTCACCTTAAAACATCTTAAGGTCATCTGTTGGGCGTTGGGTAAAAAAAAGAAAGAAAAGCTAAGGAGGCACTGCTAATCTTTAGGTGACAGTTAGCTTTATTAGAGATATAACAGAGTAGGTGACAGTTAACTTTATTAGAGATATAACTGAGTAGGTGACAGTTAGCTTTATTAGAGATATAACTGAGTAGGTGACAGTTAGCTTTATTAGAGATATAACTGAG